GTCGGGGAGCCCTGCGAGAAGCGGAACTCGAGCAGCAGCGCCGGCGCGGTAGAGCCGCCTACCCACCCCGACGCCCCGCAGGTCTGTAAGCCTCTCTGAGCCTCTGTTCTGTTTTCCATTGGGTTTTCCGGGAGTGTTGTGGATGGGTAGCGCTGATCTGTATCTCCCTCTGTTCTCACAGAAGTCAGCGCCCAGTGGCATTTTAAAGAATTAATTTCTCTGTTGATTGATCACATATTCTTCAGCCCTTGAATGTCTTATCTGAGTAAAGGTGCTTAATTGAGACGGCCTTCCATATGAACTAAGTATTTATAGCAAAATTGCTGCCCCTCGATTAAATGAGCCTGATAACGTAGTTCTCTCGGGTAGAATCGCGTTTGTATTTCAGACCCTTTTTCGATTTACTATACTTATAGCAGTGAAGCTTGAATGTAGATATCCGTGGTGGTGATTTTTGGTTTAGATTAATGGGAAAAGACTAATAATATTATGCACATTAAGTTTCGTTTTACGTATATCACAATAAGCATGTCATTTTCCTTCTGCGGTACAAATAACACGTATCGTTGAATAATAAAACTACTCAGAGAGGAGCTAATGCAGGAAATGACCGGCGTCCATTTGGGAGAGGATTTTCGTTGCTACTTTTTGCTATTGGTTGGGATGGGGGGAATTAATGTGGCTCGTCATGTTTCAGTACGACACACTTTTCATTTACAGAAAGGGTGAGGGAAATGTAATTCAAACACGACTGCTACAAAGTGCTGTGCAAGTCGTGGTGGGGATGGCTCTTTCGGACTAATTGAAAAATAATCGCAATATTGCATACGTCTTACAAAGGAAAGTTAATATATAAAATATCACGATTACAAAAACATTTTCCCGGTGGAATTAACACAGCCATGGGAGGAGTCGTATTTCACTGTAGTCGTGATCTTCTCGACAACCAAAGCAGAGAAGTTGACAGAGGAAAATCCTGCAATGCCGGGAGGAGGCTGCGGGCGCCGCTGTTGACCAAGGAGGAGCGAGAGGAAGGTCGGAGCGCTGGAGGCAGCCCCGCCCGCTGCGGCGCAGCTCGCTCCCTCGCTGGCTGTCTTGGCGGCCGGGCGGTCTGCGAGCGTCCCGGCAGTGCAGAGACCGACTGCAGCGAGGCGGAGGGGCCGGCGGCAGCGGCCAGGAGCAAAGAAACGGAGTCGGACTATAGAGAGACGGAT